TCACTGCAGCCTCTGTACTGAAGCAATCTTCCCACAGCACCTAGCTCATTTTTAAAATTCTTTGTAGAGATGGGATCCCACTACGTTGTCCAGGCTTGTCTTGAAATCCCAGGCTTAAGCAATCCTCCAGCCTCCATCTCTCAACTACTGGGATTACCAGAGCCACTGAAGCCGACCAATAATAATCCTTATAACGACCAGCAGTTGAGTGTTTGCACAGTGCTAAGCCATGCTCCTGGACAGTATGAATAATATGTGAGATTTTCATTTATGAATTTTCGGGAAAAAAATTTTACCACCCACATTTTTATTCTCTTGGGCTGGGCCCGGTGGCTCACGCCTATAATCCCAGCACTTTGGGAGGCCGATGCAGGCAAATCACTTGAGGTCACGAGTTCGAGACTAGCCTGGCCAACATGGTGAAATCCCATCTCTTCTAAAAATACAAAAATTAGCCAGGCGTGGTGGTGTGCACCTGTAATCCCAGCTACTCGGGAGGCTGAGGCAGGAGAACTGCTTGAATCTGGGAGATGAAGATTGCAGTGAGCCAAGATCGCACCACTGCACTCCAGCCTGGGCAACAAACAGAGTGAGACTCTGCTCAAAAAATAATAATTGACTGGGCGCAGTGGCTCACGCCTGTAATCCCAGCACTTTGGGAGGCTGAGGCAGGTGGATCATGAGGTCAGGAGTTCGAGACCAGCCTGGCCAACATGGTGAAACCCTGTCTTTACTGAAAATACAAAAATTAGCCAGATGTAGGCTGGGTGCAGTGGCTCATGCCTGTAATCCCAGCACGTTGGGAGGTCGAGGAGGGCAGATCATGAGGTCAAGAGATCGAGACCATCCTGGCCAACATGGTGAAACCCTGTCTCTACCAAAAATACAAAAATTAGCTGGGCGTGGTGGTCCATGCCTGTAAATCCCAGCTACTTGGGAGGCTGAAGCAGGAGAATCGCTTGAACCCAGGAGCCAGAGGTTTCAGTGAGCCGAAATGGTGCCATTGTACTCCAGCCTGGCAACAGAGCAGGACTCCGTCTCAAAAAAAAAAAAAAAACAGTTAGCCTGGCGTGGTGTCATACGCCTGTAATCCCAGCTACTCAGGAGGCTGAGGCAGGAGAATCACTTGAAACTGGAAGGCAGAGGTTGCAGTGAGCTGAGACTCCAGCCTGGGCAACAAGATCCAAACCCTGCCTCAAAAAAATAAATAAATAAAAATAAAAAAATAAAAATGAAATAAAATAGCAATACTCCCACCCCGTTGCTATTAAGAAGGTGGGTTTTTTTGTTTTTGTTTGCAGCCAATGTGCTTATTGTCACCTGACATGTTTTTGATGCTTTGTTATTGATTTGCTGCTACTTACTATTCCATGAAAGCAGGCAATTTTTTTTTTTTTTTTTTTTTTTTTTTTAAGATGGCTTCTTGCTCTGTCGCCCAGGTTGGAGTGCAATGGTGCGATCTCGGCTCACTGCAGCCTTTGCCTCCCGGATTCAAGCGATTCTCCTTCCTCAGCCTCCAGAGTAGTTGGGATTACAGGTGTGTCCCACCACATCCAGCTAATTTTTTGTATTTTTAGTTGAAACGGGGTTTTGCTGTGTTGGCCAGGCTTGTCTCGAACTCCTGACCTCAAGTGATTCCCCCCCGCCTCAACTTCCCAAAGTGCTGGGATTACTGGCATGAGCCACTGAGCCCAGCCAGGCAGGGATTTTTTTGTGTGTGTGGAGTCTCACTCTTGTTGCCCAGGCTGGAGTGCAATGGCAGGATCTCGGTTCACTGCAACTCCCGCCTCCCGGGTTCAAGTGATTCTCCTGCCTCCACCTCCCAGGTAGCTGGGATTACAGGCGCTTGCCAACATGCCCGGTTATTATATATTTATTTATTTATTTTGGAGATAGAGTCTCGCTCTGTCACCCAGGCAGGAGTGCAGTGGCGCAATCTCCACTCACTGCAAGCTCGGTCTTCCAGGTTCCCGCCATTCTCCTATCTCAGCCTCCCGAGTAGCTGGGACTACAGGCGCCCGCCACCGCGCCCAGCTAATTTTTTTGTATTTTTAGTAGAGACGGAGTTTCACCGTGTTGGCCAGGATGGTCTTGATCTCCTGACCTCGTGATCTGCCCACCTTGGCCTCCCGAAGTGCTGGGATTACAAGTGTGAGCCACCGCACCCAGCCTCAGGCAGGGATTTTTTTTTTTTTTACTCTTTTGTTCTTTGCTGTATCCCCAGCATATAGAACAGGGCCTGGCACACAGTAGAAGCTCAAGAAATATTTTGTGGAGTTAAAGACTAGAGATGTAGAGAAAATCAAGCTGAGAGAGGTAGAGAAACAGCTGATCTCGTGTTAGCCACTGGCACAACTGTGCCTGACCAACCCGGCGCTTTTTTTTTTTTTTCTTTTCTTTTGTTTGAGACAGAGTCTCGCTCAGTCGCCCAGGCTGGAGTGCAGTGGTGCGATCTCGGCTCACTGCAAGCTCCGCCTCCCAGGTTCTCGCCATTCTCCTGCCTCAGCCTCCCGAGTAGCTGGGACTACAGGCGCCCGCCACTACGCCTGGCTAATTTTTAGTAGAGAGGGGGTTTCACCGTGTCGGCCTGGATGGTCTCCATCTGCTCACCTGGTGATCCACCCGTCTCAGGGTCCCAAAGTGCTGGGATTACAGGCGTGAGCCACCGTGCCCGGCCACCCCTGCGCTTTTAAAAAACGGAAGTCAATGCAAATCTCTTCCTCAGGAAATTGATATTTAGATTGTGCATGTATGTGAGAGGGAGGTAGAATAAACAAGACGGACACCTGTTTCATGACTTTGGTCACAATAAATTATTATGAATGACAAACCGGCCCCACAGTTAAATGCATGTTTACTGGAGTTCAATCAATATTTGAACACCAACCACTTACCATGGAACCTTGAATACACTACTTAACCCTCCCTTGTCTCAGTTATTTATGTATAAAATGTGGAAGATAGCCTGGCTGACGTGGTGAGATCTCGTCTCTATAAAACATGTTTGTTTGTTTGTTTTGTTTTTTTTGAGACAGAGTCTCGCTCTGTCGCCCAGGCTGGAGTGCAGTGGTCGGATCTCAGCTCACTGCAAGCTCCGCCTCCTCCAGGTTACGCCATTCTCCTGCCTCAGTCTCCCGAGTAGCTGGGACTACAGCGCCCGCCATGGCGCCCAGCTAGTTTTTGTATTTTTAGTAGAGACGGAGCTCACCGTGTTAGCCAAGATGGTCTCGATCTCTGACCTTGTGTTAGCCAAGATGGTCTCGATCTCCTGACCTTGTGATCCGCCCGTCTCAGCCTCCCAAAGTGCTGGGATTACAGACTTGAGCCACCGCGCCCAGCCTGTTTGTTTTTTAAGTAAGCCAGATGAGGTGGTGCACGTCTGTGGTCCTAGCTACTCGGGAGGCTGCGGTGGGAGGATCACTTGAGCCCAGAAGGTGGAGGCTGCAGTGAACCATGTTCATGCCACTGCACTCCAGCCTGGGTGACAGAGTGAGGCCCCATCTCTACAAAACATTTTGTTTGTTTGTTTGTTTTTTGTTTTGTTTGGTTTTTGAGAGACGGAGTCTTTCTCTGTGGCCCAGGCTGGAGTGCAATGGCACCATCTCGGCTCACTGCAACCTCTGTTTCCCGGGTTCAAGCGATTCTCCTGCCTCAGCTTCCTGAGTAGCTGGGACTACAGATGTGTGCCACCATGCCCAGCTAATTTTTATACTTGTTTAGTAGAAACGGGGTTTCACTATATGTTGGCCAGGCTGGTCTCGAACTCCTGACCTCAAGCGATGCGCCTGCCTTGGCCTCCCAAAGTGTTGGAGTGTTGGGATTACAGTCATGAGCCGCTGTGCCCGGCCAACCTTTTTTTTTTTTTTTTTTTTTTTGAGACGGAGTCTTGCTCTGTCGCCCGGGCTGGAGTGCAGTGGCTGGATCTCAGCTCACTGCAAGCTCCGCCTCCCGGGTTTACACCATTCTCCTGGCTCAGCCACGAGGTCAGGAGATCAACACCATCCTGGCTAACACGGTGAAACCCCGTCTCTACCAAAAATACAAAAAACTAGCTGGGCGAGGTGGCGGGCGCCTGTAGTCCCAGCTACTGAGGAGGCTGAGGCACCTCAGAGAGGCATATCACCCCAAAAATGTTGGGGAAGGAAGTTCTAAACCCTCTTTGTGTGATAAGATCCTTTATTTATTTATTTATTGAGACATGATCTCACTGTATTGCCCAGGCTGGTCTCAAACTCCTGAACTTAAGTGATCCTCTTACCTCCACCTCCCAAAGTACTGGGATTACCCTCCTGAGCCACTGTGTCCAGCCAGACAGGGTCCTCTCTGGCATCTGGGTTCAGTGTCATACCCCACCCAACACCTTTCTTAGGGCTCTTAGTTTTTGTTTTTGAGACAGGGTCTCCCTCTGTCCTCCAGGCTGGAGTGCAGCAGCCCAGTCACTGCTCACTGCAGCTTCAACCTCCCGGGGCTCTGGTGATTCTCCCACCTCAGCCTCCCAAGTAGGTGGGATTACAGTCTTGTACCACCACGCTCAGCACATTTTTTGCTTGTTTGTTTGTTTATTTTTGAGATAGGGTCTTGCTCTGTCACCCAGGCTGGAGTGCAGTGGCACTATCTCTGCTCACTGCAGTCTCCACCTTCTGGGTTCAAGCAATTCTCTTGCCTCAGCCTCCACAGTAGCTGGGGTTACAGGCACATGACACCATCCCTGGCTAATTTTTTTGTACTTTTAGTAGAAGACAGGGTTTTGCCATGTTGGCCAGGCTGGTCTCAGCCTCCCAAAGCGCTGGGATTACAGGCGTGAGTCACCGCACCCAGCCAAATTTTTGTATTTTTTATAGAGACAGGATCTTGTTATGTTGCCCAGGCTGGTCTTGGCTCTTAGGTTTTTCTCTCTCTGTGTTTGTGTGTGTGTGTGTGTGTGTGTGTGTGTGGTTGTTTTCCTTTATCTTGATAAAGGGTGAACGTGGCACACAGGCACAAAATAAACAAGACTGACACCTGTTTCATAACTCTGGTCACTATTTTCATCTGCATCTGTCACTTCTGATGCATCTCCAACATTTGTAACATTTCTCTGGGGAGGGATCTGACGTACCCATGCCCCACCCCTTTCTATATTTATGAGATTGAGCTGTCCACCAGCCACCCATGGGCTGATGTCTTTGGAATATGGATCTAGTACCAACAGGGTCATGAAAAGAGATGGGGTCCAATGGGCTACAGTTGGGGGGTGGTCCCGGGATACAGAGTATAGTAGCTTCTATTGGGGGATGGCGGCTTTCCAGGAGATGAGTCACAAGCTTGCCTGTGGGACTTGTGTCTTGCGGGGAGGACACAGCTGCCTCAGGTCGGGGAGACAGACAGAGTGTGCCGGGTCCCCTCTTTCCGCCGTAGCATGAAGTCTCCGGGGGTGGCTGGACTCATGGCATAGAAGACGTTGGCATTGTCAGGAATCAGGAGCTCTGGTCAGGAGTGGAGACGGTGGTAATAGGCCCTCACAACCTTGTGTCACCCTCACAGAGTACCCGGGAACCTACTACCACTCAACCTTGAACCTGAACAGCCGTGGATCCCTCTGCAGCTACTGCCAAGCAAGCTCATTCTGCTCTCACTGGGAATCTGGACAACTTCTCAATTGAAAACCTGCACCACCTCAAGCCTTCCCTTATCAAAAGCCTGGGCAACCTCCTAACATTCTCCCCCTCGTCACAGACAAGGCAACCTGCAGTAAAAGTTTGGGCAAACTGGTGGGGCGCGGTGCCTCACGCCTGTAATCCCAGCACTTTGGGAGGCCGAGGTGGGTGGATCACTGGAAGTCAGGAATTCGAAACCAGTCTGGCCAACATGGTGAAACCCCGTCTCTACTACAAACACCAAAAAAATGAGCTGGGTGTGGTGGTGCATGCCTGTCATCCCAGCTACTCAGAAGGCTGAGGCAGGAGAATCACTCGAACCTGGGAGGTGGAGGTTGCGGTGAGCCGAGATCCTGCCATTGCATTCCAGCCTGGGCGACCGCGCAAAACTCCATCTCAAAAAAAAAAAAAAAAAAAAAAGACAACCTGTAGTAAAAGTTTGGGCAAACTTAGACCACCCTAGACCACCCCCCAGACAACTTCCTGCTCACCCCACCCCTCCCCCACAACCACTTCCAGCCCATCTCATGCTGCTGTCACCTTGAACAACTTCCCGCTTCCAGCCTGCACAAGCTTGTGGCCTCACACTCAGCACCTGAACAACCTGAAGCATCCTGTCCTAATATCCAGCCAACCTCAGGCCATGTACTTCAGCGTGAATACCCTCAGTCCCTTGCTTCTCCCTGTCAGACAGGACAACCTCGTGCTTCCCTGCTATCCATTTGGCTCTCTCTCATCCCAAGTTCAGATAACTTCAGGGTTCCGGGGGTGAACAAACCTACTTCCTCACAAATCCAAGGCCGGATGCCCTTTAGTCTCCCATCCCTACAGGTTGAGCCTGAACAACCTCACCACGATGCTACAAACTTAAGATCAGACAAACTTCTACACTCCCTTCTCTCACTTGACCCTAGACAATCTTTTTTTTTTTTTTTTTTTGAGACAGAGTCTTGCTCTCTCGCCAGGCTGGAGTGCAGTGGCGCAATCTCGGCTCACTCCAGCCTCCGCCTCCCAGGTTCAAGCAATTCTCATGCCTCAGCCACCCGACTAGGCTTGTGCCACCACATCCAGCTAATTTTTGTATTTTTAGTAGAGACAGGGTTTCACCATGTTGGCCAGGCTGGTCTTGATTTCTTGACCTTGTGATCTGCCAGCCTCGACCTCCCAAAGTGTTGAGATTACAGGCATGAGCCACCGCGCCTGGCCTTTTTTTTTTTTTTTTTTTTAATCGAGACAGGGTCTTGCTCTGTCGCCCAGACTGGTGTGATCTCAGTTCACTGCAGCCTCCACCTCCTAGGCTCAAGTGATCTTCCCACCTCAGCCTCCCCAGTAATTGGGACTACAGGCACATGCCACCATGCTCAGCTAATTTATGTATGTGTGTGTGTGTATATATATATATATTTTTTTTTTCTTTTTTTTTTTCTTTTTTTTGAGACAGAGTCTTGCTCTGTCGCCAGGCTGGAGTGCAGTGGTACGATCTTGGCTCACTGCAACCTCTACCTCCTGGGTTCAAGCGATCCTTCCGCCTCAGCCTCCCAAGTAGCTGAGACTACAGGCACTTGCCACCAAGCCCAGCTAATTTTTTTTCGTATTTTTAGTAAAGTCAGTGCTTCACTATGTTGGCGAGGCTGGTCTCAAACTCCTGACCTCAAGTGATCCATCTGCTTTGGCCTCCCAAAGTGTTGGGATTATAGGCGTGAGCCACCACGCCCAGCCAATTTCTGTACTTTTTTATAGATGGAGTCTCGTCATGTTGCCCAGGCTGGTCTCAAACTCCTGAGCTCAGACAATCCACCCACCTTGGCCTCCCAAAGTGTTGGGATTACAGTTGTAAGCCACCATGCCCAGCCCATCCTACAAATTTAAGGCCAGACAACCGTCTACACTCACTTCTGTCACTTGTCCGTGGACAATCTTTTTTTTGTTTGTTTGTTTTTTGAGACCGAGTCTCACTCTGTTACCCAGGATGGAGTGCAATGGCGCGATCTTGGCTCACTGCAACCTCTGCCTCCCAGGTTCAAGTGATTCTCTTGCCTCAGCCTCCCGAGTAGCTGGGACTACAGGCGCCTGAACCATGCCCAGCTATTTTTTTGTTTTGTTTTTAGTAGAGACAGGGTTTCACCATGTTGGCCAGGCTGGTCTCAAACTCCTGACCTCGTGATCCACCTGCCTTGGCCTCCCAAAGTGCTGGGATTACAGGCCTGAGCCACCACACCCAGCTCTTTTTCTTTGGGGGGGGACAGAGTCTCACTCTGTTGCCCAGGCTGAAGTGCAGTACTATGATCTCGGCTCACTGCAACCTCCGCCTTGCAGGTTCAAGCAATTATTCTCCTGCCTCAACCTCCCGAGTAGCTGGGATTACAGGAGTGTGCCACTACACCCGACTAATTTTTGTATGTTTCTTGGAGACGGGGTTTCACCACGTTCGTCAGGCTGGTCTCAAACTCCAGACCTCAAGTGATCCGCCCAGCTTGACTTTCCAAAGTGCTGGGATTACAGACATGAGCCACTGTACCTGGCCGGACCCTGGACAATCTTACTGTCTTTTAAATTCTAGGAAGATGACCTTTGGTGCCTCTCTCTCACACTGAGCCTAGACAACCTCCTGACCCTACATCATTGGGGTACAGATATTTTATGTCCTCTTACCCCCACTCTGATTATCTTACCCCTAGTCTCTGCCTGAACCACCTCACAGTCCTGTGAACCCAGGTAACCTCGGGCTCCATCCTTGAGCCTGGTCAGTCTGCTCCCCTCCCTGCTGCTCCCCATCCTGAGCTCCAAGCCATCCCTGCTCACCCCTGTCCCCAGGAAGGACTTGAAAGAGCTGATAATCACGGGCCCAGGACTGGGGTACATTGTGCTTCTGCAAGGCTCGCTGGACCACGCTGGGGGCTTTGTCCTGACTGGTCAGCTGGAAGAGAGGGGCGGGAGGTGAGGCGAGGGCCCCGGCCCCAAGGGCAGGGCAGCCCCTAGCAGACCCCCAGCCCAGCCCCTCACCAAGATGCTTCGATACAGGTTCCCGTGGTCATTGTCGATGCTGATGCGGATGATGCGGGCCTCCGAGCTCTGCTGCGCCGGGAGCGGGATTCGAGGGCTGCCCAGAGGCGAAGGGCCGGGTCTGGGCAGGTCCGGGCTCAGGGGCAGCTGCAGGCAGTAAGGGATGGAGGCTACAACTTGGCTCATCTGCAGATGCTGAGGGCTAGGAAAGCATGAACTTCTCAGCCACCACTGGTGTATTCAATAACCCCACGTTTAAAATCTCAAGAAAACATTGGCTGGGTGCAGTGGCTCACGCCTGTAATCCCCCAGCATCTTGGGAGGTTGAGGCGGGAGGATCACCTGAGGTCAGGAGTTCAAGACCAGCCTGGCCAACATGGTGAAATTCCATCTCTACTAAAAATACAAAAATGAGTGGGGCTTGGTGGCGCATGCCTATAATCCCAGCTACTCGGGAGGCTGAGGCAGGAGAATCACTTGAACTTGGGAGGCAGAGGTTGTAGTGGGCCAAGATCACACCACTGCACTCCAGCCTGGGTGACAGAGCGAGACTCCATCTCAAAAATAAATAAATAAATAAATAAATAAAATAATAAAATAAAATCTCAAGAAAACATACTACTTCTCCCTACACATGCAGAGCCTGGGACATGCAACTAGGGTACATTCACAAGCCTTCATATACACCACCCTACCATATACAGACTTTGGTTCCCTATTACAGAAACAGACGTGAACGGTGCTCATATACACAAAACCCGTGCTCATACACAAGAAATCCTGTGTACACACATATGCTGACAGTGGTTGGACACTCATAGCACGTGCCAATGAACAACCCCACACATGATCTCGTGAATACTCAGGCCCACATTTCCTCTTCTGGTATGCAGATTCTTTTCTTTTTCTTTTTTTGAGATAGAGTCTTGCTCTGTTGCCCAGGCTGGAGTGCAGTGGTGCCATCTCTGCTCACTGCAGCCTTTGCCTCCCGGGTTCAAGCAATTCTCATGCCTCACCCTCCCAAGTAGCTGGGATTACAGGCTTGTGCCACTATGCCCAGCTAATGTTTTTATTTTTAGTAGAGACGGGGTTTCACCATGTTGGCCAGGCTGGTCTCAAATTCCTGGCCTCAAGTGATCCACCAGCCTCGGCCTCCCAAAGTGCTGGGATTATAGGCATGAGCCACCACGCTCAGCCTTAAATTTCTTCATTGCCTTTTCTTTTCCTTTTTTTTTTTTTTTTTTTTAGAGGGAGCCTTGCTCTGTCACCAGGCTGGAGTGCAGTGGCACCATCTCAGCTCACTGCAACCTCCATCTCCTGGGTTCAAGTGATTCTCCTGCCTCAATCTCCCAAGTAGCTGGGACTACAAGTGTGCGCCACCATACCCAGCTAACTTTTTTTTTTTTTTTTTTTTGAGACGGAGTCTCTCTCTGTCACCCAGGCTGGAGTGCAGTGGCTCGATCTTGGCTCACTGCAAGCTCTGTGTCCCGGGTTCACACCATTCTTCTGCCTCAGCCTCCGGAGTAGCTGGGACTGCAGGCGTTTGCCACCACACCCAGCTAATGTTTTCTATTTTTTAGTAGAGATGGGGTTTCACCGTGTTAGCCAGGATGGTCTGGAGCTCCTGACCTCGTGATCCGCCCACCTCGGCCTCCCAAAGTGCTGGGATTACAAGTGTGAGCCACCGCACCCGGCCAATTTTTGTATTTTCAGTAGAGACGGGGTTTCACCATGTTGGCCAGGATTGTCTCGATCTCTTGACCTCGTAATCTGCACACCTCGGCCTCCCAACGTGCTTGGATTACAGACTTGAGCCACTGCGCCCAGCCTCTTTTTCTTTATAAACAGTCTCTCTCTGTCATATAGGTTAGAGTGCCGTGGCATGATCGTAGCTCACTGCAGTCTCAAACTTCTGGGCTCAAGCAATCCTTCCACCTCAGCCTGCTGAGTAGCTGGGACTACACCCAGCTAATTTTTTTGACTTTTAACAGAGACAGGGTCTCACCATGTTGCCCAGGCTGGTCTTGAACTCCTGGCCTCAAGCAATCCTCCCACCTTGGCCTCCCAAAGTGCCGGGATCACAGGCAATAGGCACCATGTTTGGCATGGTATGCAGATTCTTAGGGACATACATGTCCTCAAAAAAGTGTAGGCTGGGTGCGGTGGCTCACGCCTGTAATCCCCGCACTTTGGAAGGCCGAGGTGAGTGCATTGTTTGAGCTCAGGAGTTGAGCCTGGGCAACATGGCGAGACCTCATCTCTACTAAAGACAAAAAATAGCAGGGCATGGTGGTGCACACCTGTGGTCCTAGCTACTTGGGAGGCTGAGGTGGAAGGATCACTTGAGCCTGGGGGAGGGGAGGAAGTTGTGGTGAGCTGAGATTGCACCACTGCACTTCAGCTTGGGTGACACAGCAAGAAGGCCCTGTTTCAAATAAAAAGGGGGTGTGATGTGATTGCACCCTAGATGCCCCATGGGTAAGCAGTTACACAGGTCCAGATCTGAGTACGAGTCAGATTGATGAGTGATCCCCCAAACAGGGCCATGCAGATGCATGCAATGCCCTGGATGGATAACCCGGGTGCTCAGTGCGTCTCCTGTGTACACTCCTGGCTCCACAATCCTGTGTGTACACATGTGCATGCACACACACGCACACACACACACAGAGCCTGGGTGCCCACAGGCCCGTATGCACACACAAGCTGTCTTGGTACCTTGGTGCTGGGGCCCTGGGGCCCTGGAGAGGCCGGGGGACTGCCAGCAGGAGCATCTCTGCTTCTGGGACTTGAGGGGGGAGACCCTGGGGACACACTGGGGGAGATGCAGAGGCCGAGGTGGGGTGGCTGTGCCGACTCCTGATCCCATAGTCCCTAGTCCCATCACCAAGCAGAATGCTCACCTGGAGGTGGGGGATGAGGGGTTCCCGGGACTCCAACTAGGGAATGAACTTTTCTCTCGGGAAAGTTTCCTAAGGATGGGGACAGAGGATGAAGCTAAGGCAGGAGCAGCCCCTGCTGATATCTGCCCACATCACTCCCCACACACACACCCCGAAACTCACGCACTGAGACGCTTGGTGAGGCTGATCCGCCGTTGGATTCGTGGGGAGCTGGGGCAGGAGGCAGCTGGTGGCTCAATGACCCGGGAGAGCCGGTAGCTGAGGGGGTCAACATGTGGATGAGGTGGTGGGGGCAGGAAATACAGGGGAGGGAGAGATAAGAGTTAGAATCAGTTGGGAGGTGGGTTTGGGGTGTAAGAGGGAGCAGCCAGAGGTGGCATCCCACATGTCAGGGTCAGAGTGGTAAATGAGGGTCATTAAGCATCAAGGTCTTATCAGAGATGGGACAGGATGGCTGGTCAAGAGGTCACAAAGAGATTCACAGGGTGGCACTAAGGAATCAAATTGGGTCAGGATTAAAGTCAGGGTCAGGATCGGGTGTGGTGGCTCACACCTGTAATCCTAGCACTTTGGGAGGCCGAGGCGAGAGGATTGCTTTGGGTCAGGAGTTCGAAACCGGCCTGGCCAATATAGTGAAATCCCATCCGTACTAAAAATGCAAAAAATTAGCCGGGTGTGGTCGCTTGCGCCTATAATTGCTGCTACTCGGGAGGCTGAGGCAGGAGAATTGCTTGAACCTGGGAGGCGGAGGCTGCAGTGAGCCAAGATCGTGCCACTGCACTCCAGCCTGGGCAACAGATCGAGAGTCTGTTTCAAAAATAAATAAATAAAATAAAAAAATAAAGTCAGGGTCAGACTGGGGTCTGGTCACCACTGGGGTCAATGGTTAGGGTCACAGTTATATAGAAAGAAAGTATACAGTTGTGATAGTCAAGTTGGACAAATAAACACGAAAGTTGGAGACAGTTACTCAGAACTGAGGGTCAAGGGTTGGGGTCAGAGAGTCAGATTCAGATGAGGGGTCATGGGTCAGATAGGACCAAACATGGGGAAGTCAACACTTGGGACAGTTGAGTTGAATGACCAGCTGAATATGCTAAAGTTGAGGTCAGAAAATCAGATGGGGTCAAAATTGAGATAAGAGATCAATTGTGACTTTTTTTTTTTTTTTTTTTTGAGACAGGGTCTTACTCTGTTACCTAGACTGGAGCTGCAGTGGTGTGATTCTGGCTTACTCCAACCTCCGCCTCCCAGGCTCCAGCGATCCTCCCACCTCAGCCTCCCAAGTAGCTGGGACCAATGGCACTCAACACCACGTTCAGCTAATTTTTGTATTTTTTTGTAGAGATGGGGTTTCGCCATGTTGCCCAGGCTGGTCTCAAACTCCTGGGCTCAAACGATCCACCCACCTTGGCCTCCCAAGTGCTGGGATTACACGTGTGAACTACCAGGCCCAGTCTATTTGATTCGGCTGGAGATACTGCAAGGTCACAGGTTGTAGGGGGGTCAGGGCTCAAGAGGGGGTCTTGGGAGGAGCTGGAGGTGTGTACGGAGTGGGTGGAATCCAGTTCGTGACCAGGATCGGCTGGGGTGGGGCCAGGACAGGCTACAGGGTGATCACCTCTGCTCCTCACTGAGCTGGCGCTGGGCATGCAGGGCAGCCAGGATGGGCGGGTGGGGGCTCAGGGTGTAGCTCTGACAGCGCCTCTGCAGCTGCTGGATGCGGGCCAGGATCTCCCACTCCTGGTGGATGAGCCTCTGAGACTCTACCCCTGTCCCACCCACACCCCACCCTCAGGCACCACCCCCACACCCACTGTAGCCTCCACTCACCTTCCTCCTCTTCTCAAAGTTAATGAGATCCCCCTGGGGGCAAAGGATGTCTGAATTGCAGCACCCAGGGTCAAGGGTCAAGGTCCGGGGCTGGGATGTCAGGAGCCCCACTGTGGGGCGATGTCAGGAGTACAGGTAGGATCAAGGGTGGATATCGGGGCAAGTGGAGCTGGGGTCAGGGGTCAAGGGTCAGGGATCAGACCTCCAACATATCCGGCAGGGCTGTGTCCAGCATAACCAGGTCCGTGAGGAAGGTGCCAAGGTAAGGCACAGGGCCTGGGGGTGGTTTCTGCGGCCCCCAAAGCTCCAGTCACTCAGGGCCATAACTGACCCCATCAACCTCCACGCCCCTCCCTGAAGGTCCCACTTGTCCCCATCCCAAACTGTAATCACTCACCGAGGGCAGGCTGCCTGGGGTGTTGTCCTCTTTTTGGGATCCCTCAGTGGCCTCCTCCTGGGGGAAGAGAAAAACTGAGCAGGCCTGGGGTCTCCTCAGACAATTCCTCAGGGACGATGCCTGCAGACCCATTGTATATACCCTTCGTGCTTTGAGTAATATAAAGCCAGTGGTAGGCCAGGTGCGATGGCTCATGCCTGTAATCCCAGCACTGTGGGAGGCCAAGGCAAGCAGATCATGTGAGGTCAGGAGTTCAAGACCACCCTGGCCATTATGGTGAAACCCCATCTCTACTAAAAATACAAAAATTAGCCAGGTTTGGTGGCTTACACCTGTAGTCCCAGCTACTTGGGAGGCTGAGGCAGAAGGATAGCTTGAACCTGGGAAGCAGAGGCTGCAGTGAGCCGAGATCGCACCACTGCACTCCAGCCTGGGCGACAGAGCAAGACTCCCTCTCAAAAAAAAAACTATTTTTTAAAGGCCGGACATGGTGGCTCACGCCTGTAATCCCAGCACTTTTGAAGGCTGAGGCTGGCGGATCACATGAGGTAAGGAGTTGAGACCAGCCTAGCTAACAGAGTGAAACCCTGTTTCTACTAAAAATACAAAAAACTAGCTGGGCATGGTAGCTTGTTTCTGTAATCTCAGCTACTCGGGAGGCTGAGGCAGGAGAATCGTTTGAACCCAGGAGGCGGAGGTTGCAGTGAGCCGAGATCGCACCATTGCACTCCAACTTGGGCAACAAGACCAAAACATCTCAAAAAAAAAAAAAAAAAAAAGAAGAAGCCAGTGGTGAAGGCCCACTCTAGAAGCCAGACCACCTTGGGTGGGGGTAGAGAGGAGATAAACAGCAGGGAGAGGGCTCTCCCATAAGAGGTGGGGCTTGTAGGGGTGGTGGTCCCCAGGGCTGGCCTTAACAAGGAGAGAACCCTTGTCTGCAACTGGATGGCACAGGCCTGCCAAGGATCTCCTGGGTATCCTGAATTTGCTGTTGTTTATTTACCTTTTATTTTATTTTATTTTATTTTGAGATAGAGTCTCACTTTGTCACTCAGGCTGGAGTGTAGTGGCATGATCTTGGCTCACTGGAGCCTTGACAGCCCGAGTTCAAGCAATCCTCCCACCTCAGCCTCCTGAGTAGCTGTGACTACAGGTGTGCACCACCAACGCCCAGCTAATTTTTGTACTTTTTTGCAGAGATGGGGTTTTGCCATGTTGCCCAGGTTGGTCTCAAACTCCTGGGCTCAAGTGGTCCTCTCACCTCGGCCTCCCAAGTGCTGGGATTATAGGTGTGAGCCACAGAGCCCAGCTCCTGTGCTGTTTCAGGTGCCGGGCAGGCAACAGTGAACAAAAAAGACAAAATTTGGCTGGGAGTGATGGCTCACGCCTGTAATGCCAGCACGTTGGGAAGCCAAGGCAGGTGGATCACCTCAGGTCAGGGATTCAAGACCACCCTGGCCAACATGACAAAACCCCCTCTCTACCAAATACAAAAATTAGCCAGGCGTGGTGGCGGGTGCCTGTAATCCTAGCTACTTGGGAGGCTGAGGCAGAGACAATTGCTTGATCCTGGGAGGTGGAGGTTGCAGTGAGCCAAGATCGTGCCACTGCATTCCAGTCTGGGTGACGGAGTGAGACTCCATCTCAATACAAACAAAGAAACAAACAAACAAAAAAACAATGACGACAACAACAACAAAAAACCAGATGTGTGGTTTTGGGGATGATGGAGGCTGGGAAGGCCTCTCAGAGGCAGGGACATTTGATCAGAGACCAGAAGGAGGTGAGTGAGCAAGTTGCAGGCACACCTTGAGGGGTGGAGAATGTTCCAGGCCCAAGCATCTATTCTAGATTCACTGTAAAAAGCACTGCCTGATTGCAATGAGAATCTAAATCTTGCTTATAAATAAGCCAGACTTTTGACACACATTTTTTAGTTTTGCTTATCAAGGTAAAGTCCTCAGAACCTTTTTTTTTTTTTTTTTTTGTTCCCACCCTGTGCTATGACTCTGGCCTTAAGTAACCTTTTCTTTGTGCTTTCTTGTGTTTTGCTGAGTGAATAAATAGGGCAGTCACTGACTGTGAACTCTAAGGCAGGAAGTAAAGAAAAGAAAAACGTGCAACCCGCCAGGGACAAGTGTAAGGTCATTGCTGAGCGGTAGGGAAGGACAGAGTGTCCTGACCACAGCAGGGCGATTCTCCCTGCCTGGCCCCAAGTCCCTCCCCCAACTTCCTGGGCCTAAAATCCCCGGGGTCTGCATCCATCTCTACCTGGAAAAGAATCTCTCTACTGCTGAGGTGGTTGTTCTCATCGGAGAAAATCTGCGAAAGTTTCCTGAAAGTAGATAGCGGTTCCCTGGGAGGACAGGAAAAGGGTGGTCAGGAGTCAGTGGCTTGGAAGGGTCAGACCTGGGATGGGGTGGGGAAGAGGTCCCGCCCCAGCTCACCGGCTTACGGCCCCCCAGCTGCGCTTGAGCCGGTAGATGGGGTTAGATTGCAGGGCGGACAGGATGGCGCGCAAGGAGGAGAAGTTCCGCAGTTCTCGGCAGCGCTGCCAGGCGGTGGGGACGCAGGTCAGACGCAGGCATTATCCACCTTTCATCCTGAAACTTCTTCGCCATTTTTTTTTTTTTTTTTTTTTTTTAAAGAGAAAGGGTCTTTGGCCCAGGCTGGAGTGCAGTGGCTCGATCATAACTCACTGGCAGCCTCGAACTCCTGGGCTTAAGCGATCCACATGCCTCAGCCTCCTGCCTCAGTAGCTGGGACTACAGGAGCTTGCCATCGTGTACGGCTAATTTTTATTTTATTTTTATTTATTTTTATTTTTTATTTTTTAGACAGTCTCGCTTTATCCCCCAGGCTGGAATGCAATGGTCCGATCTCGGCTCACTGCAACCTCCGCCTCCCAGGTTCAAGCGATTATCCTGCCTCAGCCTCCCAAGTAGCTGGGATTACAGAGGCACACCACCACACCAGGCGAATTTTTTTTTTTTTGTAAGTCTAATTTTTTTTTTTTTTTTTTGAGACGGTGTCTCGCTCTGTCGCCCAGGCTGGAGTTCAGTCTCCGCTCACTGCAAGCTCCGCCTCCCGGGTTCGGGCAAGTCTCAGTCTCAGTCTCAGCCTCCCGAGTAGCTGGGACCACAGGAGCCCGCCACCACGCCCGGCTAATTTTTTTTTGTATTTTTTAGTAGAGACGGGGTTTCACCGTGTTAGCCAGGATAATCTCGATCTCCTGACCTCGTGATCTGCCCGCCTCGGCCTCCCAAAGTGCTGGGATGACAGGCGTGAGCCACGGCGCCCGGCCTGTAAGTCTAATTTTTAATTTTTGTTGTTGTCGTTGTTAAGAAATATTGGTCTCACTATGTTGCCTAGTCTGGTCTCAAACTCTAGGGTTCAAGCGATCCTCCCTCTCCCCAGAGGGTTGGGATTACAGGAGTGAGTCACTGCGCCCGGCCTGATCCGGTGACTTCTGACGCCAGATCGGACACCTGGATCTTGTCTCACGGACAAGCTACCAAGACTCCCACTCACGCCCTAGGAGTCCCTTCCTCCCTCCTCCCTCGGGCTCCAGCCCCTCCCCCAGCTGCCCCTCCAGCCTCTACCTCCGATCTTGACTTCTCGGGTCCGGGCTCCCTACTTCTCCCAGCTCCCTTGGGACCTAGTCGTGCCCGCAGCCTCTCTGCAGGACCCAGACCCTCCTCCCTGAACCCAAGTCTTATCCTAGGCATCAACTTTCCACCCCCTTCCCTCCCTCGCCTAGACACGCCCCTGTCTCTCTCCCGAGCCCTCGTTTCTTCTCCTTGCCCCAGGGCCCGCCCCTGCATCCCCTCCTTGCGCCCCCAACACACCTGGGCGATGCGGATCCACTTCTCCAGCCGCTGCGCCCTCTGCGGGGCGGTCAAGCCCGGCGCTCCGAGCACAGAACCCAGCACACAGCCGGTCACTTTGTTGAACTGGGCCACGGTGGCGCGCACAGTGGGGGAGGCGCCTGCAGCCCCCGGCCGGTCCCTCTGCGACCACACGGAGCCCAGGCACTCGTAGGGCCTCACCTTGGAGAAGAGCTCCTGGGCCAGGGGAGGGGTGTAGGATTGGTGCTTAGGAGAACCTGTCCCCTCACTGTGGCTCATCCCGACCCAGTCAGGGATCCTCACCAAGTCCATGAGGGTCAGCTGCTCGGCCACCTCGTCCACGCTGAAGTCCAGGAGCTGGGGAGCTTGCGGCATGAGTCCTTCCTCTTCCTCCGCGCAGGCCTCTGCAGAGTCTGGGTCAGAAGTTTGGGCAACTCTGGGAGGTCCTGATCATTAGAAAGGGTTACAAACTCTCCAGTTTGAATCCAAGACTGGCTGTGTGACCTTGGGCAAGTCCCTGTCCCTCTCTGAGCCTCACTTTCCTCATTTGTAAAACGGAGAACTCTCTGAATTTTTTTTTTTTTTTTTTTTTTCTGTGACAGTCTTACTCTGTTGCCCAGGCTGGAGTGCAATGGCGCAATCTCAGCTCACTGCAACCTCCGCCTCCCAGGTTCAAGTGACTCTCCTGCCTCAGTCTTCGGAGTAGCTGGGATTACAGGCATGTGCCACCATGCCCGGCTAATTTTAGTATTTTTAATAGAGACGAGCTTTCACCATGTTGGCCAGGCTGGTCTCAAATTCCTGACCTCAAGTGATCTGTCCGCCTGGGCCTCCCAAAGTGCTGGGATTACAGGTGTGAGCCACCACGCCCAGCCCTGAATGTTTTTAAGGATGTAACAGCAACAGTAATGTTCACTAAGCAGCTAGTGTGGATTTATTCAGTAACTCACCACACCAGTCCAGTGAGGGAGGTACTGTTATTTATCCAGCTTTTACAGTTAAGTAAAGGGAGGCAAAGAACAATTTGTCACACCTTCGGTGAATGGCGGGTCAGGTATTTGAAGCCAGGTACTCAAAGTCCAAATAAGAAAATAAAGCTTTGTGATTTTGAATATGTATTAGGATAAGATTAATCTGACCTCTTTTTTTGGAAAGAGGTGATATGACTTCCTGGTTCAGGTAAGGCTATTGTCAGAAAGTCTCAAACTCAAATGCAAACTTGTCCACTAGTTTGCTGTGTAAAGCATGTGTTTTAACCTCTCTGTGCAGTTTTTTTTTTTTTTTTTTGGAATGGAGTCTGACTCTGTCTCCCAGGCTGGAGTGCAATGGTGTGATCTTGGCTCACTGCAACCTCTGCCTCCGGGGTTCAACCAATGCTCCTGCCTCAGTCTCCCAAGTAGCTGGGATTATAGGCAAGAGCCACCACACCCAGCTAACTTTTGTATTTTTGTAGAGACAGGGATTCACCATATTGGCCAGGTTGGTCTTGAACTCCTGACCTCAAGTGATCTGCCTGCCTAGGCTTCCCAAAGTTCTGGGATTGCAGGAGTAAGCTCTGTCTTCTTTTTGAAACAGGCTGTCACTTTGAAATAGGGTCACACAAGCTGGAGTACAGTGGTGTGATCACAGTTCACCGCAGCCTCAACCTTCTGGGCTCCAGCGATCCTCCTGCCTCAGCCTCCTGAGTTGCTGGAACTACAGGCACACACCCAGCTAATTTTTTATTTTTTGTACAGACAGGGTCTCATTATGTTGCCAGGCTGGTCTCAAACACCTGAGCTCAAGCGATCCTCCCTCTTGGCTTCCCAAAGTTTTGAGATTGCAGGCGTGAGCCAGTGCACCTGGCTGTGGATTTCGTTTTTGTTTTTGTTTAAGGTCATGCATACCAGACTGCTATAAAGTGCTCAACAAATATGAATAATTTTATTTAGTGGATTTTGATGGTGGCGCCCCCTAAGGGAAACTTTGGAAGTTGGGATCTTGAATTGTGCCCTCCAGCCTCCAAATGTCTCTCCAGACATTTGTGTCTTTGAATAACCTGTTTGTGGCTGGTACCAAGGTAGTGACTTATCTCAGTTGAGTGTTCACAGGTGCAGATCGAACTCCTTGTTCTACTCTTTCCCCACTTCTCACTACTGCACTTGATTTGTCTTTAAGAAAGGAAGAAGGGGCCTGGCACAGTGGCTCACGCCTGTAATCCCAGCACTTTGGGAGGCCGAGACAGGCGGATCACAAGGTCAGGAGATCGAGACCATCCTGGCTAACACAGTGAAACCCCGTCTCTACTAAAAAATAGAAAAAATTAGCCAAGCGTGGTGGCGGGCGCCTGTAGTCCCAGCTACCCGGGAGGCTGAGGCAGGAGAATGGCCCGGAAGGCGGAGCTTGTAGTGAGCCAAGAACATGCCACTGCACTCCAGTCTGGGTGACAGAGGGAGACTCCATCTCAAAAAACTAAACAACAACAACAACAACAAAACAAAAACACAAAGGAAAAACTTGTTTGCAACAATCTGCACCTACCTACAACCTGACTATTTTGTTCATAAACACAAATTGTTTTGGCTCCAAGAATGCAAGGACCATGAAAGTCTGGGCTTTGTTTTGTTTGCAAGTTGCAAATGTTGTTCACAAGTTTAGAAAATGACGTCCCCAGCACCTAGGTTGCTGTCTTTGCCTCACCAGTGTTCTCCCCTGCATTAGTTGGTGCTTGTTGCTGTCAGTGCAATAGCACTGTGACACTGCACTGTGATGCTAGGACAGGCAAAGACACGGGACAACCTCATCATGTGTCCCAGTGGGGCATACCCAAGCATTACCCACTGAACAAATGGTTTATTGCTGTGTAAATTACTCTCACTTTCCTCCTCCTTTGTACTAGTTATGGCATCATACTATGATTTTATTTATTTATTTTGTGACGGAGTCTTGCTCTGTTGCCCAGGCTGGAGTGCAGTGGCTTGATCTTGGCTCACAGCAACCTCTGCCTCCAGGGTTCAAGCGATTCTCCTGCCTCAGCATCCTGGGTAGTTGAGACTACAGGAGGTGCCACTATACCCAGCTATTTTTTTTTTTTTTTTTTAAGTAGTGATGGGGTTTCACCATGTTGGCCAGACTGGTCTTGAACTCCTGACCTCAGGTGATCCCCCTGCCTCGGCTTCCCAAAGTGCTGGGATTACAGGTATGAGCCACCACACCCTGCCCCACCCAATACTATTATTTAAAAATAATCTTTGTAAATCTGTGTAATTACCTCTTTCCTCTTGAATTAGGACAGGTGGCATTGCAAAATATTAGTTTTTAAAAGTGGGTACTGGGCTGGGCACACCTATAATCCCCGCACTTTTGGAGGTTGAGGTAGGAGGATTACTTGAGACCAGGAGTTTGAGACCAGCCTGGGCAGCATAGTGAGACCCCATCTCTACAGAAAAAAATTTTTTAAAGTTGCACATCCTCATGCACACCTGTAGTCTCACCTACTCAAGAGGCTTAGGAGGGAGGATCTCTTGAGCCCAGGAGGTCAAGGCTGCAGTGAGCTGTGATCATGTCATGGCATTCCAACCTGGGTGACAGAGCAAGAAACTGTCTCCCTGCTCAAAAAAAAGTGGTCACTGGAAAAAAATGCCCCTACATCTAATCAAACCTTTAAATGTTACAGCAATAATGGGGATAGAGAAACATGCTACATGAAACTATGAGGAAGCAAACAGGTAAGTCCAAAAGAACGTGAGGCATACCTCAGGACACATGACCCATTTATTTTTTTTGCCCTCTAATGGCTTCAAACAAGAGGCAATGGGGATCTGTTACAGAATAAAAGAGACTTAAGAACAAACAACCAGTCAGGGGCGGTGATGTCTGTAATCCTGACACTTTGGGAGGCCCAGGTGGGCAGATCTCTAGAGGTTAGGAGTTCGAGACCAGCCTGGCCAACATGGCGAAACCCCCTCACTACTAAAAATACAAAAATTAGCTGGGCGTGATGGTGGGCACCTGTAATCTCAGCTACTCAGGCAGCTGAGGCAGGAGAATCACTTGAACCCAGGAGGCAGAGGTTGCCGTGAGCCGAGATCACGCCATTGTACACCAGCCTGGACAACAGAGTGAGACTCCATCTCAAAAAAAAAAAAAAAAAAAAAAGGAAAAAGAGAGAGAGAAGCAAACAACCAACTGCCTTGAGTAGATCTTCTTTGGATTTCAATTTGAAGAAACAACGACTCCTCCTTCCCACAGCTCTGTCGCCTAGACTGGAGTGTAGGGACATGCTCACAGCTCACGGCAGCCTTGATTTTCTGGGGTCAAGAGATCCTCCCACCTCAGCATCCTAAGTAGCTGGGACTATAGGCACGTGCCACAACACCTGGCCAGAAACAACTGTCAAAAAAATGTAGGGCTGGGCGCGGTGGTAGGCACCTGTGGTCCCAGCTACTCAGGAGGCTGAGGTGGGAGGGTCAGGAGTTCAAGCCCAGCCCAGGCAAAATAGGAAGACCCAGTGTCCAAAAAAAAAACAGGTTCAGGCGCAAGCGGGGGATTTGAATATTTGAATATGGACTGGGTATTTTTTCTTTTTTTGAAGCAGGGTCTCGCTCTGTCACCTAGGCTGGACTACAGTGGCACAATCACGGCTCACTGCAGCCTTGACCCTCCCAGGCTAAAATGATCCTCTTGCCTCAGCCTCCCAAGCAGCTGGGACTATAGGCAGTCACCACCACGCTCTGCTAATTATTTGTAGACACGAAATTTCAACATGTTGCCCAGGCTGGTCTCAATCTCCTGGGTTCAAACCATCCATCTGCCTTGGCCTCCTAAAGTGCTGGGATTGCCAGTGGGAGCCTCTGCTTTCAGCTTGGACTGGGTATTTTTTTTTTCAAATATTTCTGATTTTTAAAAAAATTATAAACATGAAGGTTACTAAAAAAAAAAAAATAAAAGGGTGGGGCGCCATGGCTCATGCCTGTAACCCCAACAATTTGGGAGGCCGAGGTGGGCAGATCACCTGAGGTCAGGAGTTTGAGACCAGCCTGACCAACATGGAGAAACTGCCCCCCCAACTAAAAATACAAAATTAGCCAGGAGTGGTGCTGCGCGCCTGTAATCCCAGCTACTCGGGAGGCTGAGGCAGGAGAATCACTTGAATCCAGGAGGCGGAGGTTGAGGTGAGCTGAGATCCTGCCATTGCACTCTAGCCTGGGTAACAAGAGCAAACCTCCACCTCAAAAAAAAAAAAAAAGCAAGCCTGTTGTCAGACATGTGTTCCCAAAACATTTATGTGTGAACTGACATAAGCCTGGGATTTGTTTCAAAATCATCCTGAAAATGTTTTTTTTTTGTGTGAAATTGATCACCGTTGATGATAGGTGATGGATATCTGAATGTTCGTCATACTATTCTCTCTACTTTTGTATATGTCTGAAATTTTCCATAGCAAAAAGTGAACCCAAAATAAAGTTCTTAAAATAAAATAGATGAGCATGGTGGTCATCTACTTTCTTCTAAACTACATGGTGCAAGTGTAGTCTTAGCTACTCAGGAAGCTGAGGTAGGAGGCTCACTTGAGCCCAGGAGTTCAAGTCCAGCCTGGGCAACACAGCAAGACCCTGTATCTAAAAATAAAATTCATAGTAGGGTGCGGTGGCTCACACCTGTCATCCCAGCACTTTGGGAGACCAAGGCGAGTGGATCACAAGGTCAGGAGATTGAGACCATCCTGGCTAGCATGGTAAAACCCCGTCTCTACTAAAACTACAAAAAATTAGCCGGATGTGGTGGCACACACCTGTAGTCACAGCTACTCGGGAGGCTGAGGAAGGAGAATCACTTGAACCCAAGAGGCAGAGGTAGCAGTAAGCCAAGATCACAGCATTGCACTCCAGCCTGGGCGACAGAGCAAGACTCTGTCTCAAAATAAAATAAAAATAAAAATAAATAAAATAAAATAAAAAAGTGTGTCCCAGAGTCTAGCACATAGAAGGTTTTAAACAAGTGTTCATTTTCTCCTGTGACCTCAAGGAAACTAGGGCAGCACTTTCCATAGAATTCTCTGCAATGGTGGAAAAATTCTCTAGCCGCTCTGTCCAGTGTGGTGACTGAACACTGAAAATGTGGGTAGTGGGATTGAACACTTGAATTTTTGCCTTTGCTTGACTGGATTTTGAAAAAAAAAAAAAAAAAAAAAAAAGGGGGGGCCAGGCATGGTAGCGCACGCCTGTAATCCCAGCACTTTGGGAGACCAAGGTGGGTGGATCACCTGAGGTCAGGAGTTCGAGACCACACTGACCAACATAGTGAAACTCTGTCTCTAATAAAAAGACAAAATTAGCTGGTGTGGTTGCAGGTGCCTATAATTCCAGCTACTTGGGAGGCTGAGGCAGGAGAATCTCTTGTATCCAGGAGGCAGTGTTGCAGTGTGCTGAGATGGCGCCACTGTACTCCAGCCTGGGCGACAGAGCGAGACTCTGTCTCAAAAGAAAAAAAGGATGGCATGGTGGCTCATGCCTGTAATCCCAGCAATTTGGGAGGCCGAGGTGGGCGGATCACGAGGTCAGGAGATTGAGGCCATCCTGGCTAACACAGTGAAACCCCGTCTCTACTAAAAATACAAAAAGTAGCCGGGCGTGGTGGCGCACGCTTGTAATCCCAGCTACTCAGGAGGCTGAGGCAGGAGTATCACTTGAACCCGGGAGGCAGAGGTTGCAGTGAGCCAAGATGATGCCATTGCACTCCAGCTTGGGCAACAAGAGCGAAACTCCGTCTCAAAAAAAAAAAGGTAGGGTCAGGCACAGTGGCTCACACTTACAATCCCAGCACCCTGAGAGGTTGAGGCCAGAGGATTGCTTAAGCCCAGGAGTTCGAGACCAGCCTGGGCAACATGGCAAGACCCCATCTCTAAAAAGAAAAGACCTGAATCTTATTTAATTTTAATTAATTTAAATAGCGACAGGGGCTAGTGGCCACCACATTGGACTATGGAGCTCTAATGACTTGGAATCAGCTGGAGAAATCATATATATACACATATACACACACACACACACACACATATATATATACGCCATTATATACATAAATAACTGAGACTTTGTCACCAGGGATGGAGAAGTAGCTGCTGCTTTGTAAATTGAACAAGAATGTGGCCACTATAATCTGGAGATTAAGCCATGGGGATTAGGGATAAAGATGCTTTTGTGATGCGGATCAGATCAAACACAGATGGGTGAAAGATGATACTTCCTAAGCGGGATGCAATTATTCAGCAAACTAATCTGTGTTGTTCCTGCCCCTGGGGATAGAGCTGGGAGCAAGAACAACAGGTCCTCCTCTCACGCACTCACAGTCTATGAGATGAGCGAAAGCCAATAATCAAGTAAGGAGGCTGCGCATGGCTCATGGCTGTAATCCCAGCATTTTGGGAGGCCAAGGCAGGCGGATCACTTGAGTTTAGGAGTTTGAGACCAGCCTGGGCAACATGGCACAATCTCACCTCTACAAAATAATTAGCTGGGCATGGTGACACGCGCCTATGGTCCCAGCTACACAGGAGGCTGAGACAGGAGAATGACTTGAGCCCAGGAGGTGGAGGTTGCAGTGAGCGGAGATCATGCCACTGCACTCCAGCCTGGGTAACAGTGCGAGACTGTGTCTCAAAAAAAAAAAAAAATTGAAAAAAGAATTTCAAAAATAAGAAACATTTTACAGACTGGGTATAGTGGCTCGCGCCTGTAATGCTAGCACTTTGGGAGACCCAGACGGGAGGATCGCTTGAGCCCAGGATGTTGAGCCTGCAGTGAACCATGATGGAGACATGCACTCCAGCCTGGGCAACAGAGCAAGACCCTGACTCAAAAAAAAAATAATAATTAAAGACAAGTATCAAGGCAATGGTATGCAGCTAGAAACACAGGCATCCTGACCCAATGGCACCAAGGAGGGGAAAAGTATTGAACGTATTGCTAATACTTCAGACAAAAGATTTTTATTTTTTAAGATGGAGTTTCGCGCTCCTGTTGCCTAGGCTGGATAGCAGTGGTGTGATGTCAGCTCACTGCAATCTCCGCCTCCCAGGTTCAAGCGATTCTTCTGCCTCAACCTTCGAGTAGCTGGGATTACGGGCATGCGCCACACACCCGGTAATTTTGTATTTTTAGTGGGACGGGTTTCTCCATGTTTGTCAGACTGGTCTCGAACTCCTGACCTCAGGTGATACGCCCACCTCAGCCTCCCAAACTGCGGGATTACAGGCGTGAGCCACCATGCCTGGCCAACAAGGAATTATTATCCCCATTGTACAGATGAGGAAATTGAGACTTAAGCAGGCAAAGAAAGGCCTTCTCAGAACCACGACTGGATCAAAAACCCTCACCTGTCCACACCTGGTGGCTCCCTCTTCCTGCTCTCGCTCAGCCTCCTCCAAAAAAATCTTCAGAAGCTTCTGCTTTTCGAGCCTCAGCACTCCTGGGGCCGCCCAGCCTAGAAAGGTTCCTCCCTGGGGCCGCCCAGCCCAGAAAGGTTCGGACACTGCCCAGGTCTGAGTGGGCAGGGGGGTCTCGGAAATCCTGAGGGTGGTCCTGCAGCCAGGAGCCCAGCACTGACACCACAGCCCTGGCCAGAGAGGCAGGGTCTCAGAACTGGGTCCAGAATAGGGGACCTAGAATGTGACTCCTGGTACGTTTTTTTTTTGAGACAGAGTCTCACTGTGTCACCAAGGCTGCAGTGCAGTGGTCTGATCTTGACTCACTGCAACCTCAGCCTCCCGAGTAGCTGGGACTACAGGCGTGTAGCACCATGCCCAGCTATTTTTCTTTTTCTTTTTTTTTTTTTTATTTTTGTATTTTTAGTAGAGACAGGGTTTTGCCATGTTGGCCAGGCTGGTCTCTAACTCCTGACCTCCAGTGATCCACCTGCCTCTGCCTTCCAAAGTGCTGGGATTACAGGAGTGAACCACCAAGCCCGGCTTGACTCCCAGTCTTTTATTACCCAACCTGCAATTTTGAAAACCCCAGGCCAACTGCTAACCTTTGACCTCCGAGATTTCCCTCCCGGCACTCCCCTATCCGGATGAAGGACCCACCTCAGGTTCTTGTTGAAGCTCAGATCTTGTACCGCTGTCTTCTTGATCTCTACCCTGGGAAGAAGTCCCCCAGCAGGTGAAGAAGGGGGAAACTAGAGGGGGCTTAGGAAGAGGGCTCTGGGTTTGGGAGGTGTTTCCTGGTTCCACACCTGAGGAGGTGGAGGGGGTGCCCAGTTGGGGGTCTAGGGTGGGGAACATGGAGGTTCTGGTTCACTACTGACCCAGGAGGTGGGGGCGGAGGCATTGGTGGCAGCAGAAAGCCCAGCAGGTGGGCAGTGGGTACAAAGGTCCGGTAGGTGGCCAGGAAGGCGGGCACAAAGCTGGGGTCCTGCTCACGGTCTCCAGACACCAACTCTCCCACCAGCCGCTCCAGGCGCGCTGCCCTCAGCACCCTCACCTTGCTGGTTCGATAGTGGAGGAAGGTATTGGCAATGGGGCTGGGGGCCTGCAGGAGGGGAGAGGCGGCCATGAGAGAGCAGGAGTGGTCCTCGCAGCACCCCTTCTTTAATCACATTCATCACTATCACCACTCTTTTTCTTTTCTTTTTTTTTTTTTTGAAACGGAGTCTTGCTCTGTTGTCCAGGCTGGACTGCAGTGGCACGATCTCGGCTCACTGCAAGCTCTGCCTCCCAGGTTCACACCATTCTCCTGCCTCAGCCTCCCGAGTAGCTGGGACTACAGGCGTCCACCACCACACCTGGCTAATTTTTGTATTTTTAGTAGAGACGGGTTTTCACCGTGTTAGCCAGGATGGTGTCGATCTCCTGACCTTGTGATCCGCCTGCCTCAGCCTCCCAAAGTGCTGGGATTACAGGTGTGAGCCACCGTGCCTGGCTTTTTTTTTTTTTTTGAGACAGAGTTTCACTCTGTTACCCAGGCAGGAGTGCAGTGGCACCATCTTGGGTCACTTCAACTTCCGCCTCCTGGGTTCAGGCAATCCTCCTGCCTCAGCCTCCAAGTAGCTGAAACTACAGGTGCACACCACCATGCCCAGCTAATTTTTATAGACAGGATTTCACCATGTTGGTCAGACTGGTCTCGAACTCCTGACCTCAAGTAATCTGCCCACCTTGGCCTCTCAAAGTCTCCCAAAGGGCTGGGATTACAGGCGTGAACCACAGTGCCCAGCCCCTAGCACCACTATTTTTTTTTGTTTGTTTGTTTTAGACAGAATCTCGCTCTGTCACCTAGGCTGGAGTGCAGTGGCATGATCTTGGCTCACTGAAACTTCTGCCTCCTGGGTTCAAGCAATTCTCTGCCTCAGCCTCCCAAGTAACTGGGATTACAGGCACCCGCCACCACACCCAGCTAATTTTTTTGTATTTTTAGTAGAGACAGTGTTTCACCATCTTGGCCAGGTTGGTCTTGAACTCCTGACCTCATGATCCACCCGCCTCGGCCTCCCAAAGTGCTGGGATTACAGGCGTGAGCCACCACGCCCGGCCCCTAGCACCACTCTTGCGTGTGATTCCTCTGACTCCTGGCTTCTTGGAGTTACTGTTTTGGTTTGTTTTTTTTTAGAGACAAGGTCTTGTTTTGTTGCCCAGGCTGGGGTGCAGTGGCACAATCATAGCTCCCTGCAGCCTCCAACTCCTAGACTCAAGTGGTCCTCCTGCCCCAGCCTCCTGAGTAGCTGGGGCCACTGCTGGGCATCACCACGCACAGCTAATTTTTTGATTTTTATTTTTATATAGAGAGAATCTTGCCGGGCGCGGTGATCCCAGCACTTTGGGAGGCCGAGACGGGCGGACCACGAGGTCAGGAGATCGAGACCATCCTGGTTAACACCGTGAAACCCCGTCTCTACTAAAAAATACAAAAAACTAGCCGGGCAAGGTGGTGGGCGCCTGTAGTCCCAGCTACTCGGGAAGCTGAGGCAGGAGAATGGCGTGAACCTGGGAGGCGGAGCTTGCAGTGAGCTGAGATCCAGCCACAGCACTCCAGCCTGGGCGACAGAGTGAGACTCTGTCTCAAAAAAAAAAAAAAAAAGAAAAAAAAAAAAAAGAGAGAGAGAGAATCTTGCTGTGTTGTCCAGGCTGGTCTAGAGAATCTTGCTGTGTTGTCCAGGCTGGTCTCGAATTCCTGGCCTCCTGCCTTGGTCTCTCAAAGCTCGGGGATTACAGGTGTGTGCCCCACACCCTGCCCGCTTGAAGTTACTATTCCTCCCCATCCACAAATATCTTCTGCAACCTGCCCTGGAAACCGTCCCTCTCCCATGCCCTGTCCCCTCCTCCCTCCCCCCGCCCCCACACATACACTCTTGTCCACCCCGGGCTTCCTTCAGCCCTCCTGTCGCGCTTCACTGGCTGCCCCACCCGCCCTCACCCAGCCACTTCTAAACCAACCCCTTTCCACCTTCCAGCCTCGGCCCTCTAAACCTGCCTTTCTTAACCCTGTCGTCCAGTTCTGTCCTTACCAAGTTGTCCCCAGGGTCCTCTCGGGAACTGCGCGGCCATCACCTGGCCCCACCCGATTCCCTGGATCTTCCCCCACTTACCTGGCCGCCCCCAGGCGTCTTTCTACCTGGTCGCCTCACCTGGTCGCCTCGAGCCCCTCCCTTCCTTCCGCCCACTGCATCTGGCGGCCAGTGCTCGGCTCTCCAACTCCGCCCTCACCTGGTCGCTTCCGGCCCCGCGCCACCCACCAAACCCCCTCCTCACCTGGCTGCCCCCGGTGCCCTCCGCCGGACTCAAGCGCTGACTGTGCTGTCGCCGCAGGGAGACGCTGTACACCGCGCCGTCCTCGGTCTCTTCCCCCCAGTCCTGCAGCGGTGCCTAGACGCAGAGGAGGACTCAGGGCACCAAACGGGCGCAGGTCCTGGGGCCTCAGCCTCCTCGGCGGCCTGGACTCGGGCTGAGTCTTGCTGCTCCATCCCCACGCCCCTTCCCAGCCAGAAGCTGCGAGACTCGGGCTGGGGTCCCAGGCTAGTACCCTCCTAGCCGCTGGTCCCCTCCTCCCAGGTCCTGAGGACATGTGGTAGCATTTGGGGATGTCCCAGGGCCCCGCCTCATAGAACCTGTCTCTAGCCCTTTCTGCCGACTGCGCTCAGAGACTTGCGCCCCTATCCCTGAGAGGAAGTAGTCGCTTCACTGGGTCAAGGGCCGTGAGTCCCCAGGAGGGGACTCCAGGGCAAGTTCAGATGGGAGCAAATAGCGTCCGACCGGAGGGCACTTGGAGTTTCTGGACCTGCGGGTCACCAGGAATGCGGGGTCCGGGGATCCCTTGTCCCCTTACCAGGGCCAGCTCTTTGCCTGCTGTGCGCTCCATTGCCCGCACCCGTCCCTCTCAGTGGCTCCGCTGAGTGAAACGGAAGGGCCGGCGGGTGGCGGGCAGCGGCCGGGCGCTGGGGCCAGAGGGGCGGGGCGGCCGAGCTGCTGGGGCTGGGCGGGGCAGGCCCGACCCAGCTTCTGGGTGCCTCCAGCTGGACCCAGCGCGAGCCCAGGAGAGGTCCTGGCTCTTCCGCTGGGTGCCTATCAATCTGTACCCAGGAGAAAGGACACATCTATCCCCAAGGGATCTTTTTGTACCCCCGGATGTGGGGGAGTTCCTGTGTGGGGGCAGGCGAGTGTCCCCAGACCAGAGTTCTCTGTTCTCCAGTGGAAGAGGCTAGCTTGACCAAGTGTGAGGGCATCTTCCACTTTTTACTATTATTGTTATTATTTTGGGATGTAGTTTCATTCTGTCACCCAGGCTGGAGTACAGTGGCTTGATCTCAGCTCACTGCAACCTCCATCTCCCAGGTTCAAACGATTCTCTTGCCTCAGCCTCCCAAGTAGCTGGGATTACAGACGTGTGCCACCATGCCCGGCTAATTTTTGTATTTTTTGTAGAGACGGGGTTTTGCCATGCTTGCCAGGCTGGTCTCAAAATCCCGGCCTCAAGAAATTCACCCGCTTCAGCCTTCCAAAATGCTGGGATTACAGGCGTGAACCATGGCACCCAGCCTTATTATTTTTTAGAGACAGGGTCTCACTTCTGGTGCTGAGGCTGGAGTGCAGTGGCTTGATCTTGGCTCACTGCAATCTCCGCCTCCTGTGTTCAATCTGTTCTCCTGCCTCAGTCTCCCAAGTAGCTGGGACTACAGGCACGTGCCGCCATGCTCAGAGTTTTTTTCTTTTCTTTCTTTTTTTTTTTTATGAGAACTGGTTTTCACCATGTTGCCCAGGCTATTCTGGAACCCTTGGGCTCAGTCGATACACCCAACTCAGCCTCCCAAAGTGCTAGGAATACAGGTATGGGCCACTGCACCCCACTCTTATTTTATTTATTGAGACAGGGTCCGGCTCTGTGGCCCTGGCTGGAGTGCAGTAGCATGATCATAGCTCACTGCAGCCTGAAGCTCCTGGACTCAAGTGATCCTCCCAACTCAGCCTCCCCAAATACTGGGATTACAGGCGTAAAACCACTACATCCGGCCATCTCCCATTTTTAAGCTCCATCTGCGTCACCAGCTGATGGGAGTCATCATGACCCAGGTTGGAGGAGGCAGAGTCTGTGGCCCTGGGTTTTCAGGGACAGCAATCTCTTGGGTGGTGCAGGGTCAAAAAGAGATGAATGCCAGGGGCATGGTCAGTAACCTTTATTGCGCAACTCTGAGGCCGGGGCAGACCCGGCTGGGGAGATTTACTGTGGGAACGTCTGGCCCGGCCCCTTCCTCCCCTCCGGGCGCCGCTGGCTGCCTCCGCTCCCTGTCCGGGCCGCGTTCAGCCCTTGAAGGGGCCCCGTGGGGCCTGCGCTAGACCCGGAGGGATCGGGGGCACCGATGGGGGCCGCCAGGTGGGTGTCAGGGCGACTCTAGGACCTCCGAGAGCGACGGTGCTTCTTGTAGCTTTCGATTAATTTCTGGGAACGGATCTTTAGCGATGCGCGAGTCACTACCTCCTTGTCCTCCTCCTCACTCTCTTCATCTACGGGGGGTGAGGGGATGAGCAGGGAGCGATGAGGGAGCCAGGTCCCCATCCCTGGTACCCCTTCCCACTCCACCCCACCTTGACCTTGAGCAGGGTATGGGACAACCTCCTGCTCCCCAGCTTGGGGCCCTAACCGCACCCCTTCATCCCCCCACCCATACTGACCAAAAAACTTGTCCTTGGGAGTGGCAAGGGGCAGCGTGATGCGGGTGTTGTATTCGGGCAACCTTCCCTCTAAGCTGGCGAGGAACTAAGCGGGGATAGGAAGTGAGAGAGGAAGGTGGGAGGGGCCACGGGCCACCGAGAAATCACATTCCCCCTCCTCCCTACCCCATTCGGAGATATGCCCTGGTTCCAACTGGAGACCATTGTCCACTTCCATCCTTCCTTCAGCAGGCACCTTGATACCCAGCTTCGCCTCCTCATCACTCAGGTCCACCCCTGGTCTCTGGGGCCCTGCTATAGGCCTCTTCCCATCCCGATCCCCCAGCCGCGTCCTCTAGCCTCCCGGGATCCGCCCGCACCTCGTCTGGTTTCTTCCCTCGTGGCTCGGGCTCACCCCTAGCCCTCAAACCTCACCCGTTGTATCCCCGAGACCCCTTCCTGGCTGATCAGCCTGCACTCTGGTCTCTCGAAATGGCCCCCAGTTCCCTGGTTTTCCGACCCAGCCCCACTACTAGAGCTCTGGAGCTCTGCCCCAGGGCTGCAGGGCACCTCGCGGTCAGCGATGTGGCGCAGCATCTCCTGCACGTCGTGGCTCCCGAGCTGCGCCTGCAATTTCAGCAGCTTTTCCTCCACGAGGCCCAGCAGGCTTGGCAGATAGTTACCTGCCCGGGGATCCAGCTCCTTTCCCGCGAAGCGGCCGTCCTCCTGTGGCCAAGGTAGAGCCGGGTCAGCCGAGAGGGGTGGGGCCTATTGGAAGGCACCACCCAGGGGAGGGGCTGCTCTCTCGGGAGCTGGGCCTAGGAGGTAAGGGCCCACCTACACGGGCCATCCTAGCCATTGTGGGCGGGGACTTATATCAAGGCCAGGTCTGCGATGGGGGAGTCTCTGAACTCTAGCTCTTTATGAAAAGGTTTCGGGGAGGCCTCTTGGGAACAGTAAGGATTCGAGGGAGACCATTGTGGGATGGCCTCCTGAAGAAATGGGCCTCTGCTGCGGGCAGGATAGGGCTTCTGTCTCGGGTTGCTCCAGAATTGCAGATAGGTCTCCAAGGTTTTCGGGGACAGGGTGGGACTTCTTTCCCTTGGAGGCGGAGCCTGAGACGGGACAGGGGCTCTGAAGTCTTGGGCTTCCTTGGGGAGTGAGAGCTTCCCCAGGGCGGTGGGGCGGGGAATGGGGTGGGGCTTCCCCTGTGGGCGGGGCCTCTGACGTCCGGGACAGAGGATGTGGCAGGCCATGTTCCCCAGGGCAAGCCGGTGTGGCAGGAACCCCCCGCTTCGTGGCTGCGCCTCTTCGGTCCCGTGAGGGCCTGGTGGGGCTTCCCCCGGGCGGGGCCTACCACAGTGATGTGGACCAGCTTGCTGGCCAGGTGCTCCAGGCTGTCCTTGGCCACTTGCATGGCCCGCAAGGCGCGCTCCAGCTGGTCCTGGGCCTCGGCGTGCCGCTGCTCCTCCTTCTTGAGACGCTCCTGCGCCTCGGCTTGCAGTTTCTGCTGGCTGGAGGGAGCCGGGAGGTCACTCCGGGGGCTCAGCCCGCCCCGCCGCCCTCCCCAGGGCCCTGGCGCCTCACCTCACCAGCGTGGCCTCCCCTGAGTACTTGAGGTTTTCCAGCTCCCGCTGAAGTTGTTGCTTCTCCTGCTTCAGCCTCACCAACGTCTGCTCGTTCTCCCTCTTGAGCGTCTCCAACTGCGCAAAGGTGTCGCCCTGGGCCACGAACCGCCGCACCAACGACTGTGGGCCACCCAGCCCCAGTCAGAGCCAGGGCCTAGAGAGGCGCAGGGGCGCTCCACCTCCTCTCCCCCACCCTGCGTCCCATCGCACGCAGGACAGGTGGCCTGAGCTGGCGCCTTTTGCACAGCAATGTATGGGGACACTGTGGGTTGGACTCAGGGTGGCTTCAAGGATGAGCAGCCCCCAGGCCGGGCGCGGTGGCTCACGCCTGTAATCCCAGCACTTTGGGAGGCCGAGGCGGGCGGATCACAAGGTCAGGAGATCGAGACCATGGTGAAACCCCGTCTCTACTAAAAAATAGAAAAAAATTAGCCGGGCGCAGTGGCGGGCGCCTGTAGTCCCAGCTACTCGGGAGGCTGAGGCAGGAGAATGGCGTGAACCCGGGAGGCGGAGCTTGCAGTGAGCTGAGTTCCCGCCACTGCACTCCAGCCTGGGCGACAGAGCGAGACTCCGTCTCAAAAAAAAAAAAAAAAAAAAAAAAAAAAAAAAAAAAAAAAAAAAAAAAGGATGAGCAGCCCTGGATATATCATTTTTGCGGGGCCCTTTCTGGCCTACATAAGGAATTTGAGTCAGCTCAAATTCGGGGGCAGCTGGACAGGCGAGCATAGCTTCTTTCCAAAAATCAACGTGCCATCAATTTCTGGCCGCGAATCTCGCCTGATCCCACAGGAAATACCTCCCTTCTTCGGAGCCATCTGCTCACAAGGCCCACATCTGGAAAGGGGCTGTGCCTCAGTGCCCCAGATGACCCCATAGGTGTCCTCCAATAGGTGGGAGTCCCAGAACTCCTCAGGGGTCGGCCCCATGGGGGGAGCAGCAGGTTGGCGGTCACCCAGAGGGGAGAAACAGGGTTGGGGTCCAGTGTTCACTGGCGGGAACCAGGACCCAAAGGGGACACATTGGTCTTAGAATAATGCAAAGAAGACGCTGTAAAGTGACGGACCCGGTGCAGGGACCCCACTTGCCAGGATCTGAACGATCTACTGGGTCACAGACCATGTTACAGACACTGGAGACAGAACAAGAGAGGAAACTCTCAGTTCTCCTAGAACTGGCATGGCAAAGGAATTAGCACGGTTCAAGAGAGAACGGAAGGCGAGTGTAGAAATGACAGCGAGTGTGGACAGCTCCTGGGGGTTTTGCTGTGAAGGGCAGCAGAAAAACTGAACGGTAGCTGGAGGGGGAAGGGATGTTTTTCAAGAAAGGAGTAGGTTTGTGAGCTGAAGAACTGACCTGGCAGAGAGGGGAGGCAAGGTGTGTCAGTTTCACCAGCCTGGGCACCCCTGGGGCCCGTCTGGGGTGGACGGGGCGCGGCGGGGAGGGCTGCGGGCAGAACTCACGTGCGTCTCGGCAGTGCCAGTGGCGTCCTTGACCTTGCCAAAGATCACCTCCATCTGGTACATGCTCCAGCGCTGCCGCAGCTCCTCCTCCTTGGCATGCAGGCTGTCCTGGGTGGTGTCCTCAGACTGTAGCAGTAGGTGCTCGCGGTGCGTCTGCTCGTGGGTTGAGGTCAGAGCCAGGGTCAGCCTATGGACAGCGCTTAGGGCGGAGGCCGG